ACCAAAGGGTGAAGGGTCAGGGTTATGAAGTGGATAGGGAATGAATTTAGGGCCAGAAGACTGGGCTTGAATCTTGGCTCTGCCTCCTGCTTTCCCGTGAAGCCCGGGGGAAATCACTTGACTCATTCTTCTCCATACAATAGTGATGGTGATGGTAATGCTACTTATAGGAACCATCTCACAAGGTTGTTGAGAAGAAAGTACTTTAACTTGTCAAAGCATTATGGAAACTGTGAGCTGATAGTATTATTGTTATTTAAGACCCACATTTGTCACAATAGTTCAAAGCTGTCACCAAATAATGATTGTGTTTTTGATTCCTTGGCCATTTCTGTAGACAGATAGACTTGCCTCCTTGACCATTACTATTTATTTAAGATAGAGAAGTAGGGGAAAGAGAGAGACAGAGAGAGAGAGAGAATACAGCAGAAAATGGTGAGATATTCTTTCCCTTAAGCTAGAGCCTAAAGAAGGTAATCAAAATAAGGCGTGCACACCCTAGGAGGTCATAGGTAATTGGTGCACCCAAGAAGTCACCAGATTCTGCTCTCACCATTCTCCTCCAAAAGAAACAGCATCTACATTCTCAGGACCACAGGACTAGAGCTGGAAGGGAAATGGCCAGACATTTTACAGATGAGGCAAGTGACCCCAGAGGAATTAAATGGCTTGCCCAAGGTCACACAGCTAATCAGAGGCTGCACTGGATATCCTGTCCCCAAAACCAGGGCTCTTTCTGCTTTATCACATTTATTACCTCAAAAGTGTTTTTTTTTGGGGGGGGTAGTGTTGCCTAGTAAATAGAACCCTGGCTTGAAGTCAAAAAGGCATGAGTTTAAATCCCACCTCATCCATTTCTTGCATATGTGTTCTGAAAAAGTTACTTCAGTCTTCCTGAGTCTCAGTTTCCTCATCTGTAAAATGGGAATAACTGTAAAATCTACCTTGCAGTACAGTTGTAAAGCTCAGTTTAGATCATGTATGTAACAGGTTTTGTTGACTTTAAAGTGTTATACACACACGCGGTTTTGTGCATGTGTGATCATTAGCTTTGTTGTTCTTATAGATGAATTTGGGGAGGGTCCCTGACAGAGTCTTTGTAAAACACTGAGTTTGATATTTTGGAACAGTGGGTGATATTTGTGAAGTGGATTTGTAGCTTGGCTGCTCCTACCATGAGGCTGAGGGTTCTGATTGACAGAACTCCCACATTAAGACTTGTTTGTTTTGTTGATGAGGGAAATGCCAGTTAAGTGAGCCATATGTGCCAAACTCACCCAGCTGAGGTATACACCCATGGAATGGACATCCGCTCTTAAAATTCAAGTATAAGTGATACAAGAGAAAGGGACATAGTAACAGTGGTTATCTGCTACCTTCATTTCATTTTTAAAAAGCAATTTTTTGTGTGTTTTTGTTTTTACTTCCCATAAAGTTTCTTATTAAGTTTATGTAGATACATATCAGAAAAAAGCAATCTCCTCCCAGTCAGTTTTACATTGTTTAAAATGTTTCTTATGGGAGAGATTTTCCTCAGAAATATAATCAGTGGAAAAAAGTACGTGGATGGTAATGAAATCTGCCAAGAGCCTCGTCCATGATATAAAAGTGCTAGAAATCAGAGGACTCAATAAAGACACGATGGGCTCCAGAAATAGCTGCTGAGGCTATTTCAGAAGCTTCCAGAGAGCCTGGAGAAGGGCCATGCTTGTTCTTCGATGGTTCCCAAATGTCACCTGCAGAATGATTTCTCTCCCTCTGCAGTGGGGCAGCCTGCAGCCTTGTTACTCAGTCAGGTGCGAGCTGGTGTGTTTGTTTTCTAATCAGGACTTGAGGGTCCTCTTGCCTCCAAGCTATGCTGGGACCAATTCTGGTAGAGGCTAGAAATAGGAGGGCTGGACTAAGTTATAAGTCATCCAAAGAGGGGGTAATTGAGGTGTGTGTGTGTGTGTGTGTGTGTGTGTGTGTGTGTGTGTGTGTGTGTGTGTGTTCTTTCATTTTCCCTATAAACCCTTCTACAAGACATAAATAAGATAAACCAAGTATGAGTCATTGCTGAGAAGGGGGAAGACGGTGTCCAAAGGTGATTGACCAAAGACCAAGAAAATAACCATAAGTATTCACATTTATATAGTATTATATATATATGTGTGTATGTGTGTACGTGTGTGTGTGTGTGTGTGTGTATGATATTACTTGGACCTAAACCATCCAAGAGCATTATCTCCATTTTACAGATGCGGACATTGAGGTTCACACAGATAAAATAATTTGGCTAGAGTCACACAGCTAGAAAGAGTCAGATGTAAGTTCTGAAATTGGAGTCTCCTGGCCGTCTAGCATCCTTTCCATGACACTATGCTGTGTCTCAATAAGCAAAATAGTTCATTGCAAAGATTTCTGGATTTGGCGTTAGAAGAGCTGGGTTGAAATTCTGGCTTGGCTGCTTCCAGTCACCTCACTTTTCTGTGCCTCATCTGTACAATGAGAGGATTAGATAACTGTACTACAAATTCCCTTCTAGAACTAAATGCAAGATGGTTTAATCCTAGATCATCTGTTAATTGCATTCATTTCTAACATATCTGATCAACTGTCAACAGAAAATGTGGCATTGAGTAGCTAGTGAGAAAAGGCTCACGCCAATTCAGCTAGGGTTGACCAATTCTTAAACCAGCATCCCTTGTCCATGCTATTTATATTTTTCAACCATCATGCCACTGTTCATTGTCCTGTGCTACATACTGGAATGGTCTAGTTGTGTGGCTACTATCTGTAGAGTCCTTTAGCTTTGAGTTCTGAGAAGAGAGGGTAGTAACCAAGCTCTCTTTGTCACATTCTGGGATGCACCTCCATGAATGCCTGACATCATTCTTCTCTTTGGTTTTAGTCACATTCCCACTAAAAAAGCCAGAAACTTAATGTACCTATAATCAGTAATCAGGCGGTAACAGCTCAGGGCTCATTGGATAATAGATTTAGAGCCAAAAGGGGCCATCTGGTCCAATGTCTTCATTTTAACAAGTGAGGAGCTAAGACCCAGAGGGGTTACTTGACTAGGTAGCAAGTGGAACAGGCAAGATTGGAACCCAGTCCTCTGGCTCCATAACCAGAGATCTTTCTGTTGTTCCACACTGCCTCAATGCCTGATCTAATGAATAGCTTCTTCATACTGGACTCTGTGGGCCAGTGTACCAGTGAGAAAAGAGCACACGAGCTGGAGTCAAGAATGTCTGGGTTTGAATTCTCGCTCTGCCCCTCACCAGAGGCTGCTCAGCCTTTTCTGAGCATGTTTCTGCGTCCATAAACAAGGGAAGGACAATATCTGCAGCTACCACCCAGAGGGTCCCCTGAGAGACGCAGGTGAGACAATAGCTTGGAAGTGCTTTGCCAACTTTAAAAGTGATACACACACGTCAGCCGTCACTGTGCTGATAATCAGAACAGCCTAAGAAAGGCAGGGGTGATTGGAAATGCTTCCTCTTAGGCAGATTCAAACCTGTCACATATTTGGTTTCCTTTATAGTGATGGCCATACCCTGATACTTTAGAAATCATTAAATCCTAGCTTATTGTTTTTCAGCTTGGGAAACAAAATAGACACACCTTTACAAATCATTATTTCCTTTACAATTACTGTTTAATCTGGATTTTAAATGACTTTTGTGTTCAGTCAGTTGTCATGAGGGGTTCTACCTCCTTTATTCACTCACCTCCCACATTTGCTCTTTTCTCTGCATTCACTGGAAAGCCCCCTATTCCCTATTTACCTCTTGCCCAATCTAATGGAACCACCCCCAAATTGTTCTCACTGTTTCCATATCTTCTCTCTCCTATCTTTCTCCACATAGCTGTAAGAATAACCTTCCTAAAATGTGATCTATCCACATCATTCATCTGCTCAAGAGTCATCAGAGGTTCTCCCCTAACTCTAGAATAAAATCCACATTCCTCCCCTTATTTGATGTCCTTGGCAGTCTTGCCCCAGATAACACTGCCACATTCATTCCCCATGGCTCCCCTCTGTACGTGGTAGCCTTCAGCCAAATGGAATGACTTGTGGTTTCCCTAGTACAGCATTCCGTCTCTTGCTATTGAATCATTGCCCAGCCCGACTCCGTACTCCCCTCTAACCTCTTCTTATGATCACAGATTTAGAACTAGAAAGGAAATTTAGAGGTTACCTAGTCCAGTCCTTTCATTTTGCAGGTGAGGAAACTGAGGCACAGAAAAATACAGTGAGTGGCCCAAGGTAACTATCGTACTAAGTGAGATTTGAATTTCGGTGTTTTAATTCCAAAAACAGTGCTCTTCCCACCAGATCACTTAGAATCAGACATCACCTCCTAGAGAAATTCTTTTCTGATCCCCCAAGTTATTAGGGTTCTGAAACCTATCAACTTAGTGTGTATTTTTTTATCTCTGCACTGGTTGTATCTGTCCCATAGAACGTAAATTCCTTGAGGGCAGGGCTTGCTCTTGATATGTGTCAGTATCCTCAGTGTCTGGCACAATACCTTGGGCATAGCAGCACATAAAAATTCATGCTGAATTGAATTCATTGTGATTGTTTGAAGTCATATAACATTTTCCATGGGGAAGAGATCTGCCCTCATTCTTTCCCACAAACACGCCTGAGATAGATGTCCAGTGGTCCCTGTTTACATATCAGGGGAGGTTCATGGCAGAACTGAGGATAAGCCAGGACTTAGGGTGATCCCTTCCTTCCCTAGCTCTCCCCTCATGAGCTGCTCCGAGATGTCCAGGGGCACTTGTCCCATCGTGAGAGAGCCAGCCTACTGCCTGGAACCAGAGAAACGATGACGCTCCCCTTCCCGCGCGAGATCCCACATGTTTTTCTAAAGCCCGTGGTGATCACCAGCAAAGGAGCACACTGTCTTCTGATGCTTGCTTCAGTCAAGCTCAGAATTTTATTGGCACTCGCACATTTGGCTGTTTATTTCATTAAGTGAAATCTGTTTCTTTTCTGCCCCATACAGAACGTGAAGGATGATGGACAGCACGTTTGGCGACTGAAGCATTTTAACAAGCCAGCCTACTGCAATCTTTGTTTGAACATGCTCATCGGCGTGGGGAAGCAGGGCCTATGCTGCTCCTGTGAGTCGGGGGATAAGTCTGTGGACAGGGTCTTTGGCTGCCTCCTCAGCCCTGGCTCACCCTTTCCACCAGGGTGGGCTTGAGCGAGTGGAGTTCCAGTCACTTGGACAGTAAGGACCCTCCCAAGGCTTAAGCTCTTGTGCTGGGAATCCACCCCTGCAGCCAAGCCAGCCCCGCCCCAAGTCAGCCTGGAGAGTGGAGTTTCCCCTTTCTTGAGTGTTGGAACAGCTCCCTTTGCCCTGGAGGCATGTCAGAGGAAGGTGTTCTGATGGCAGCCAGTTAATGTTCTCATGAACATCTTCACTCATTCCCTATTACACCTGTTACCTCTAGGAACATCTAGGTGACCTCCACTAACTGCTCATGTGGTAGACCTTGCACAGACTGGGTGGGCTTTGTGTTGTTTTTTTAACTCTTTGCTGGTATTTGCAGACCATCTTTCTCTTTAAAAAAAATCTTTTCATTATCATTTGTATAGAAAAAAATTTTTAAATGCAAATATATAGGGGATTAGGAAGACATGGTCATGGGAGAGGTAGGATGGCCTCATGGGTAGAATGCTGGATTCCTCCTTGCTTTTATGGACTGTTGTAAAGAAACATTACCCCCAAATAAGGCTCGAGGTATAGTCATTTAAAATGCTTTCTCTTAGGCAGAAGTGTAGATGTCACAGGAAGGATCCAAAGAATCAGCAGTCCATGAGCTGTGAGAAGTATTTTACTTACAAGAACTTTTGTCAAAGTAGGGTTTTGTGTAGCTCCGCTTAGGTGTGCCAGAAGCAAAAAGAATGGGATTTTTCTTCAATATTTCAGTGATTGCTGCTTTCCTCAGTTGGACACATCCTGCACTTGCAACGGTTACAGTCCTGTGAGCTTTAGTGTAGATGGTTTCATGAGTTGCTATGATTAAAATATGTATGTGTGTGTGTATAATATATATCACCTTTAATCCTATTTTTAATAGCTAATTGATCTTTTTATGGATTTAACATTGTCCTTCCCCAATAAATCCTTCCCCCTTCCCCTCTGGGCAAGAGAACCACTCCTTGCTACAAAGAAATAAAGAAAAGCAAAACAAGTTATGATATTGGGCACGCTCACAAATGTGTGCCCCATTCTTCACCTCTACTTCCCCACCTCTTCACCAGGAGACCAGAAGACACTTTACTGTCAGGTCTTGAAGTCATGATTGTCGCCTTGGTTAGAATCCAGAAGCCTTTCCATATTGCTTACTTTCACACTCTTGTGATCCCTGTATAAATTGTTCTCCTGATTCGATTTTCTTTACTCTGGATCAGTTCACAAAATTCTTCTCAAGTTTGTCTGAAATCTTCTTATTCATTACATTTTTTTTATGGAAAAATAGCATCCTTTACATTCAAACCTGTTAAACTTGTACTTGTTGGTTCCCAGATTTAGATTCAAAAGAATAAATATATAATTTATTGCAATTTCCTAATTTGACAAAGAAGGAAACTAAGGCTTTGAGTATCAAGTAGAGACTAGTGGCAGTTGGTGGTGCTGGGGAAAGAGGAGCCAGGAAGACCTGAGTTCAAATCTAGCCTTGGATACTCATTAGCTATGTGCCTCTGGATCAGTCACTTAAGCTCAATTCTAAAAGGGGGATAATAGTAGCACCTGCCTCCCAGGGTTGTGTGGGAATCCAAAGAGATAACACATATAAAGTACCTGGCAATCTTCAAAGTGTGCTCTCAATGTGAGATAATTTCCCCAAGGTCAGTGGTAATGAATTACCAGTCTCTGTTTAAAGACAGTTCTTTTGACTCCAAATACAAAATGATCCAATCTGAGAGTTGGAAAGAGCCTCAGTGGTTGCCTATTCCAACCTCTACCTGAACAGGAATCTTCTCTCATACCCCATATGGCCTTATCCAGCTTTGCCAAGAAAGCTTCCAATGAGTGGGCACCAACTCCTTCCCAAGGCCACCAGATCCTTTTTCCGTGGAAGATTCTCCTGAGTGTCAAGTTCCTTCTTTGTAATTCCCTCACACTGCCCTACTTCTCACAAAGTAGTCCGTCCACTACTTGGAGAACATTATCACACCCACCCTATACATAGGCATCTCTTCTAATTCAATATCAATGTCCCGGTTCCTTTAGCTGATCCTCATGGTGGGAGCTCCAGAACTTTCTCAGTCTGGTTGACCTCCTGCGGTCCTTTGCTTTTTAGCTTACCGTCATTCTTCCTAAAATATAGAGCCTGGAAATGAATCTAGTGCTACTGGTGTTGTTTAACCTGGACCTCATGGAGTGGATGTCACCTCCCTGGCCCTGGACCCTCTGCTCCCATCCTTCACCAGGACCTAGCAGGGGTCTTTCCTCATGATGGACACTTGGTGAATTGGTCTGTTGATTTCACCTGAATTAAATTGACCTAAAGCTACAACTGTGCAGGTTTACTTGTTTTGTGATATTCCTGGCACATAGTAGGTACTTAATAAATTTTTATTGATTGATTGATTGGTGGAAGCCTGTAATTCTTCTCTCTGCCACTGGACTAAGGTTGGAGCTTTCAGAACTGAGAGCATCTGTTATGTTTAGCTCTTTATGTATACACCCCTAGTGTCCTTTATTTTCTTAAATAAATATCAATTAATAAAAAAGCTATCTATGGGTCACTCAGAACTACATAAAAAGGATAGTGAAAAGGCTCACAAGATTGAAGGAGACCAGAAGTCCTGAGTATTTTGTTTCATTAAACATTAATTCAATTCCAAGTGGCATTCTCTTGTTTCCTTCATTCATATAGCATGGCAGCCTAGGCTCAAGCCTCTCCAGTCTTCTGCTCTTTCTCCTCATCCTTGTCTCCCCTTCCTGCTTTGGGAGGAATGTCCAAGGTTAGCATGAAACCTCTCACCTTCCATAAAGAAGCATTTCATCTTTGGTTTGCACTAAGGGCCTTATCTGTCTGGGTTTCAGCTCTCCTTCATGGTGTCATGAGGGTAGCAAAGCCTCTGTCCCTTCTTGTATCTATCCTGGTTACTTTGACCTCTGCTCACATGGAGCACTTACATGCCTTCCCTCCTTCCCCCGCATCAGAATCTACTTCCATTGCCAAAGCAGAAGGCTGTTACTTCTGCATCTGGTCAAGTCATCTTTCTTCCTCCCCCTGCTCTACACCATGGATCAGTGCACTCTTTTCAGCTCTGATTATGTGATCATACACACACACGCACACACGGCACACACACACACACACACACACACACACACACACACACACACACAGCTTCCACCCCTCCCTTTCCATTTCCACTCTAGCCACATCTATTCCTCCAGACAGAAATGAAAACAATTAGAGGATGGGAAGCTGAGCATCAAAACAATGAAAAACCAAAACGTTGTGAAACTGTGATGGGAACGGATCAGTGCGACCTTGAGCAGGAACCTCCGAGGCTGATCATTGAGAGTTCTGAGCTTCAGAACCCCGAGTGGTAGCTGTCCCTTGATTCTTTTCAGTCCCACAAATATGCATGGAGTGTTTGAAGGGCGGGAAGTCACTCATAAGGGACTTTGTAAAGAGGATTGTGGTTCTCCAGTGAATTGTATGAGGTGGTCTTTCAGGACTTTTCCTTCTCTGAGACACTGTGAAATGTCTCTTATGAATAGGGCTACAGATGGAAATTATTCCATAAAACCTAAGTACTGCTATTTTTATTTCCTTCTTTCCTTCCTTCCTTTCTTCCTTCCTTCCTTCCTTCCCTCCCTCCCTCCCTCCTTCCTTCCTTCCTTCCTTCTTTCCTTCCTTCCTTTCTTCCTTCCTTCCTTCCTTCCCTCCCTCCCTCCTTCCTTCCTTCCTTCCTTCCCTCCTTCCTTCCTTCCTTCCTTCCTTCCTTCCTTCCTTCCTTCCTTCCTTCCTTCCTTCCTTCCTTCCTTCCTTCCCTCCTTCCTTCCTTCCACATCAGGCAGGATATAGTGAAATGCTCCTTCATTCCACAGACTCACAGAATCTGACTTGGGAAGGACTCAGAGCACATTGAGTCCAATGTATGACTGAACAGAGAGTCTCGTGGCAAGATTCTTTGGTGGCCAGAGAAGGTTAACCTTTGCCCATGTTTCCCCTTTCAATTGTAGCTTAGATCTGTCCTTGTGTCTCACTTGAACCCATCCCTGACTGGCTGATAAACCCTGAGGGCTGGGATCAGACTCTACTTAATGGTCGCATATCCCACACGTGGAGAGTAGGGAGGTTGAGTTGGTTCATGGGGAGCATCCTATGAGTTTCTGGATAGGTAAAAAAAAAAGTTCCCTTCGTGTTGATAAGGAATCCATTTGAATCAGAATTAATGAAGAACGGAATTATTTATTTAACCTATTTGGCAACATAAGGAGATAAAAAACCCTGAGACCTTGGAAAGCTCCGGCAGTGGGCAGGCTTTGTAATACGTGGGCCAATGCCTCGGCTTCAGGACATTGACTCCCACGTCTTCTGATCGTCTTGCTTAACTTGGGCCACCTCCACCAAGCCTCAGCAGGGCTGGTTGGTGAACCCCTAGAAAAGCAAGGAATGACCATTGAGAACCTGTACAGCTTCATCAAGGACAGGCTCTGCCTTGTCCATGTTATTTTTGAAAAGTTTTCAAAGGTCTAGCTCATGAGAATACTATATATGTAGTTTACTTAGACTTTAAATTAGATTAGATGTAACTTAGATTTTAACAAAGCATTCAATAAATAATCTCATGGCATTTTGGTGGCAAGAAGGGAGAAATGTGGGCCATATGCAAATCTAACTAGCGCTATTTGGAGCTGTTCGTCTGATCTGACTCAAAAAGAATTTATTCATTAATGACTCGATGTCAGTTCTGAAGGAGGCCTCCAGCAGAGCATCCCAGAGCTCTGTTCTTGGCCCTCTGCTGTTTCACATTTTCATCAATAGCTTGGAGACAGACCTCCAGGAGGTAGCTTGCTCATCCACTGTTCAGGTGACACCAAGCTAGGAGGGAAAGTTAAGATATTGAGTTACAGAGGAAGGGTATAAAAAGAGCTTGCCAGCCAATGATGGTGGGATGAATCTGATAATGTGGTTTTGATAAAGAGAAATATAATGTCTTGCGTTTGGGTTCAAGAAATTGACTTCACGAGCACAAGGCGAGGGAGGCATAAGTAGACAGCAGTTTGTCTCAAGAAACAGCTCAGGGTTTTAGTGGATTGTGAGTTCACGTTGATCAGCAATGTGATGTAATAGTTCAAAAATGACTGAGCTCTCTGGCTGCATTGAGACAAGAAAGGAGGAGGTGGTACCACTGTACCCACCCTGATGTGATGACATATGGAGTGGGGTCATTTCTGTGTGCCACAGTTTCAGGGTATGGAGAAGTTAGGAAATATCTGTGTAGGACAGAATGAAGAAAGGCTTTGAGCCCACGCCGTCTGAGCATTGGTTGAAGAAACTGGGGGTGTTGAGTAGGAAATAAAGAATGTTCAGAGCAGGGGAGGGGAGGCACGATCACATCTTTAAGGATTTAAAGGGCTGTCCTATGGAGGAGGGACTTTATTCTGCTTGGCCCCACAGGACAGGTACAGGAACAATGGGTGGCAGTTCCGAAGGGGCACATTTGAAGCTCAGTATTAGGAGAATCTTTCTACCCATTTGAGCCATCCCAATATGGTACAGAGAGGCGAGGCCATAGAGCCAAGCCGGAGGATGACTATTTGTTGAATACCTTATAAAGCAATTCTTATGTGTGTGTGTGTGTGTGTGTGTGTGTGTGTGTGTGTGTGTTTGTGTGTATGGGTTGAACTTAATAGTTACTAAGGTTCATAAGATCCAAGATCTAGGTGGGATGAAACTTACTCCAACCCCCTCATTTTACAGATGGAGAAACTGAGGCCCAGGTGGGTAAATGGCTTGCCCAAGACCACAGTGGAAGTGATGGCAGAGGCAGGATCTGAAATCAGGTCCTCTGATCTAGGATCTGGGGCTCTGCTGCAGAGAACATCTGCGCAGTCTTTCTCTGAGAAAGATAATAGAATCATCTGAGTGAGTTCTTTAGCTAAAATACCTTGAAAACATAAGAAATATGGCTTGGAATGATGCTGTTGGCTGCTTAAACATCCCTCTCTGATGGAAAAAGAAGCAACCAGGAGTCATATCATAACATTTGAGGTCAAGGAGGCCTTTGGGCATCTAATTCCATCCTCTCCTTATCACCCATGTGGAAATGGGAATTGACCTGCCTAACGTCGTTCAGACAGTAGACAGAAAAGCCGGGTTTTCAGTCTAGGATCTTCGGTCCCACATTTAGGAGTCTTTCCTTTGTAATACACCATGTTGCCATCTTAGATTTAATTGGATTCCCCCTCCCCCATATTTTCATATATTCCATGTTGTTAGATGCAGTAACTTTATTTTATCACATGAACATATTTATATTAAGCTAAATTTCTTTAAGAGTCTAAACATGCAAAGGAATTGGAGATGCTGCTGAGTTCTAAACATTTGATTATTTTTCTGACATTTTCATTCTCTTCATATATTTTTTCCTTTGGTATTCAGACAAGTTTATCAAACAAAACATGTGGTTTAGCAAAGGAAAATGTTGCCTGGAGAGGCAGGGTTAGGGCTCGTATTGGCTTGGCCTGAAGGATACCCACTGCTCTCTGGGGGGGGGGGGGGCGCAGGGGAGAGAAAACCCAGCCATTTAAGGTTGGAATCAATCGATGTACAGCTCAGCAGCGACTTCTGGGGTCCGCTTCCCAAGCTGGCCAGCTGCTCCCCTCGCCCATGGTTTGTAAAATGTGGATTTTCTTCTGATGAGCAGATGACACCAAGCCATTTGGCAGTCATCAATTTTTCTTTAATATTTTAGTCATTTGAGAGTTATTGTGAAAAATTTTCGTGAGGACTGATTTAATTAAGCATTTCCTGCTATGCCATGATGGAGTCATTGTGGCTTTTCCCATGCAGAATATTTCCTGTGCTAATTGGCCTTTTGTATCTCATGGCAAAAACCAGTCTCCTTTAGCTTGTCCCTGCTGAGACTGATTGAATTGATTAGACGGCAATGGGTATGGGATGAGGAGGCCCTGCTAAGGCCGTGCTTTCCCTGGAAAAACATGAGCAGGATGAGAAGTAATCAGGGTTTATCCATGTGCTTCCTTTCAGTTTGCAAGTACACAGTCCATGAACGCTGTGTGGCGAGAGCGCCTCCATCTTGCATCAAGACCTATGTGAAGTCCAAAAAGAACACAGATGTGAGTGCTGAGTTTGCCTTGGCTTCTTGAGGACGGCAGGGCACCACCTGCCATCTTGTTCCTGCTTGCCTAGTTCCATACTCAGTCATGCATCATTACTGAGTCAATCTCCGGGCTCAGGGTTCATTGTCTCTATCTTGTCCCTATTGTCCCATCCTACTTCATGCACCATTCCTGGGCCAATGACAAAGCAAGGTTTGCCATCTTATTCCTACCTATTTTGTTCCCTCCTGGGTCGCACACCATTACCGGGTCAACGGCATGGTAAGGCTCACTGTCTTACAACCCCTGCCCATTGTTTTACTCTAGGTCATGCACCATTACTGGGTCAATGTCAACTTATTCTTACCCCTATTGTTCCTTCCCAGGTCATGCACCATTACTGGGTTGAAGGCAACTGCCCAGCCAAGTGTGACAAGTGTCATAAAAATGTCAAATGCTACCAAGGCCTGACTGGACTTCACTGTGTTTGGTGTCAGATAACAGTGAGTAGAATGAACAATAATCATGGGGAGGCAGGTGCCCTGCGGGCTCCCTGGGCACTGGAGATTGTGGGGTGGACAACACTCATTAACGTGTCCCTGGGGGTCTGCTCAATGGGGCATCTCATAGATGAGTGAAGGCAGCTGAAGGATTAGAGTGTTGGAAGGCTTCTTTGAGGTCATCTGGTCTGGCCCCCTCATTTTATAGTTGAGCAAATAGATTCCTGAATAGATTGGAGCTAGATTGGAGCTGCTCCTGGAGAACAGTTAGGCCAAACTTCCTGAGGCCCCGAGGGAAAGACTTTGAGGATCGAAAGGCCCCTTCTCTGTGCAAAAGCTGATCAAAATCTGCTTCAAACTAAACTTCCTGAAATAGCCACTCTCTCAGCCCCCACAGGTTTCACACGGAGTTCTCCAAATGTATTTGAGTCTTTATTGTTGACAGAAGTCAGCATAGACAGGCCTTCTGAGTAATGTCACTCCAGTGGCTTCTCTGGACCTGTGTGGTTGGCGGGATGGCATCTGTCCCAAGCCTAAAGGAGGCTCTGGTCCCATTATTGTGAAGAGAAAACAATAGAGGGAACTGTCTCAGCTAAGTCAACACAGATACCGCTCTGAGGTGGTGTGGGCAGGGGGGTGGGGTGTGGATTCTCAGAGGTTTACTAGACACACACAGAGGATAATGGAAACAACACACTATGACATACGTTTTAGAATGCAATGAAGTATGTTTTAAAGATAAATATGTTTTCTTCAGACATTTTAAACTATTACTTAGTACCCAGTTATATTTACACTTGGAATTACCCTCAAACTATTATGAAGAATAAGCTTTTTATTATTCTTAATTATGGGTGGTTAAAAGGGAATTTCTAACACAAAGATACAAATATGGTTGTTGGTTTCAGTATTCAGCCCGATTTTGAAGAAGATATGATACTTTGAAACTTTGGAATTTCTTTCTTTTTTGTGATCTTTCAAATATCTATCTTTTTATCTCTGTCCACTCACCTCTGATACCTCCTATCCTGTGGCCACCCCAGTCTTTGGAATTATATTGTTTTTATTTCTGACCTTTTAGGGACCTGCCCCTGTTACTGTATGAGAGAGAGAGAGGAAGAAAATAAAATTAATTGACATTTATATAACACATTATGAAATATATACACAATACTTTACATATATTATTGAGGTACTCAAGATGTTACTGTCCACATTTTACAGATGCGAAAACTGAGTCTCTGGGAGGTCCAAAATATTCCCTAAGGTCTCACTAAATTAGGAAATGTCACAGATGAGATTCCAGGCTGGATCTGACTGAATACAGCTCCCTCCTGGTAGCCGTTGTGCTCTGTGAAGTCTCTTTAGTTTGATGCTTTAATTATTATTTTTAGGAGCGAGCATTTTGATTGGGTAAATTGAAATTCAAGCTTAATTTACCGGGGGCTATAATGCTAATGATGTCAGCACCAAAGATTTGACTTTCATTCTCACTCAGCCCTTGTCCCTCAGTGATTTTGCCTTCACCATCACTTCAAAATCTGTTCTTTATAGAAGGAGCACCTTCTGTCTAGTCATTCAGTCAACAAGCTTTGATTATGCACCTACTATGTGTCCAGCACTGTGATAAACACTGGGGATACAGAGAAAGACAAAAGTCAGGCTCTGCCCTCAAAGGGCTCCCTGTCTAATGGGTGCGGTCATTTAAGAAAGATGTGTTAAATTCTTATTGTGTGTAAAGCCCTGTTCTGGGTAGGGAGAGAGAAACAGATGATATAAGACATGGCTTCTGCCCTCACAGAGCTTCCAGTCACAGGGCTTGATATAATTGACCAGAAAGCCCCTATTGAAGCCCTCTCCTCCCTTGGTATCCATGCCACGGTATTTTCCTGGTCAATTCTCTGATGACGCCTTTTTTCCCTGCTTTAATCTTTCTCACAGCTGCCCAGCCGAGATTCCTCCAGTGATGGCCACCCATTGCTCTCCCATCTTTGCTCAGTGAGGTCGATAGCGTGCATCAAAGCTTGCTTAGATACTTGGGAAAAGCCATTTTCTCATCACGTACCCTTGGCGTGGGTGTCATGGCAGCCCACCCCCACCTTTTCTTCTTTTGTAATTCTTACTGACATCCCCCCGTGAATCTCACTTACGAGATTTGTCCTCTTTTGGGGCGTTTATCATTCCCCAAGGCTCAGTGCATTCCTAGTTCTGACCACATGCCACGCTTCCTCTCATGACTTGCCACTCTCTGTGGCCTCTCCTAAGCTGGCCTCTTCCTGACTTCGGGTGATCAGAGGGACATTCCAGTGCATACTGGTCTCCTGGGCTGCCATTTTCTAGCTAGCAGGATGCCGGAGAGACTTTGTTTTTCTCCTGTTCCTCTGCCTATCTCCTGGCCTAGCTTGCTTGAAAAGATAAGAGAAATATACTATCCCATCAGCTTCCCTCACTGGTCCCTCACCTGCATTGCCCACATCCTGAGGCTGAACCATCGGTGATGTTAATGACCCTCCTGAACTAATCTGATAATGATTAACAACGCCCCCCATCATCCCCTCATCCCAGTGACCTTGAAACCCCTGCTGTCTTCACACAGACTGTTGTTCAGCCTCTACTGCCTCCTCCATTACTCCCAGCCTCTTTCTCATCCCCAACGTTGCATCCTAAAACTACCCACCTTTTCCACTGTGCTGTCTGAAATACATGCCCTGTAGGTAACAAACTTGCTTTCATCTTATATCTTTTCCTTTCTTCATCTGTCCCTGACTAAGACTTGCCTCCTTCTTGATAAAAACAATCTCACTGGCCACCTGTTTCAGCACTGGTCACATTTTCATTCATTAACCAAACTCACTGAGTTGTGGGTACATCTACACCTTGCTCCCTAGAGATAGCTAGGCGGTGCAATAGGTAAAGCATTGGGATGGAAGTCAGAAAGATCTGAGTTCAAATCCAGGTTCAAACACTTATTAGCTGGACAAGTCACTTAACCTGTCTGCCTCATTTTACTTAACTGTAAAATGGAGTTAGCAATAGCACCTACCTCCCAGAGTTGTTTGTGAGGATTAAATGTAATACCATCACATAGTAACGTAATTTATCTGTTTCCCTTCATTGTTACAATCTTCACATCATCATCATCATCGTCACTTTTTGGAGGTTCATTCAATCCATATCAACCACTCAGGATTCTGATAGCTTTTGTCTACCAGACTGCAGGACTGTCCTGTTCTTTCTTCAATGAGTTCAATGCCCAATCACATTCTTTCCCTCTCCTACACCTGCCCCCATTCTAGGGGACCTCAGCATACACATTGCTGCTCCCTCCATAATCCCCTCACCTCCCAGATCTTCAGCTTTGCTCATTTCCCTTGACAAGCTGCTCAACCCCATCTCAGCTGCACATAGGGATGGTCATATTCTTGGTCTTCCCATCACCCACAAACGCTCTGCTTCTTTATTCAGAAACTCTGCAATCTCCTTATCTAATAACGATCTGTCTTACCACCTTTCCCTCTGCCTGCAACTGAAATGCTATAGTCTTCAGCAGGACTTTCAGCACCTCCAAGCCCTAGTTCTGCCCCAGATCATCACCCCTTCACTGTGTATACTCTCCTTGCCTCCTCGTCCTGACCCCTTGCTGAACTGGTTTCACTACACTTTCCTCTTCAAACCCTCTGCCCCTAATCATATTACTGATTATGCCTTGGATACTCTCACCATCTACTTGGTTCACTCCTCCTCACTGATACTGAATGGATCTGGAGGAATTCACAAAATCATGATGAATGGACCAGCTGCACACGTGATGTATGTAATCTCAACTGAAGCAAGACAAACATTTTGTACCTCCCCAATGAACTTGCTAACCCGCTCTCCATAGTGACTTTTCCCACCATGTTCATCCTTTCTCAAAGTTCCCACAGCTCCCTCTCCTTCCACCCTTTTGGTTGAGAACTTTGTCTTACATTTTACAGAAAAATAAATTGAGGTCATTCCCCAAGAGCTCTTTCTTCTCCCCTTCTCAGCTCACATCTCCCAGATGCCTCCTCCTACTATCTCCACCTTTATTCATCTCCTACAACAATGTGCCCTTCTCCTTGCAAAGGAAAACCCTTCACATGCACTAGGAATCCTATTCCATCCCGGTTTCCCCAGCAGATTGACCCTGTCAGTAATTCCTACTTTTTTATTTATCTTCAATCTCTCCCTGCCGGCTACCTCCAAGCCTGCCCACTCTTCTCCATCTTCAAAAAACTCCCTTGGAAAGCATTTAGCTTTCATAGAATACATAGCCTTCCTTTTGTGGTCATGAGAAGAGTATCTATAATGGATATTTTCACTTCCTTTCTTCTCACTTTCTTCTTAACTCTTTACTGTCTGCCTTCTGAGCTCATCATTCAACCACAACTGCTCTCTCCAAAGTTACCAAAGATCTCTTAATTGCCAGATCTGATGGTCTTTTCTCAATCCTCAGGCTTCTTGACCTTTTGGACCCTGTTGAGTACCCTCTTCTCTTTGATGCCCCAACCCTCCCAGTTCCTCAAACTCTCAAACAAGGTGCCATTCTTACCCTCTCTCATCCTCCATATCCAGTCTAATGCCAAGTCCTGGTGATTGTATCTTTATCACATTTTTTTTTTTCCATTCGCTCTCTTCTCCCTTCTGACACTGCCTCCACACAGGTTCAAGACCTCAGCACCTCATTTCCAGACTATTGCAATAGTCTGTGGATGGATCTGCCTGCCCCAAGGCTCTCCCCATTCCAGTCTAACCTTGACTCAGCTGTTGCAATGTTTCTAAAGTGCAGATCTGACCTCCATACTCAAGGTGCTCTGCCTTCAGGATCAAAAATAAAATCTTCTCTTTGGTGTTCAAAGCTCTTTATAGCTTACCCCTCCCTCCCTCCCATCCATATCACCTTCCTCCCACACATGTTCTCTATCGTCCAAAGACACTGGCATCCTTATCATCCCTCTACCAAGACCCTCCATCTCTCAGCT